ATCTCGTCGTCTGATGATCTCTTCTAAAAGATTTAGACATAACGAGATCTAGCATCTCGTCATGTGATCATCTCTCCTGAAAAATGTAGACTTGTGGAGATCCAGGATCGCAACATTTGATCTTCTTTCCTACAGGATGTAGACATGACGAGATAATTATCTAGACATCTGGAAGGTCTCTATAAGCTTCCGTACTCAACTTATTTTGATGTCAGAATCATGTATTAAAGTGTTGTTTTTCTGTCTTAGTTGTTTTCTTTTCAATTTGTTCTATCGCTTTTTTCATGGTCCAAGAAAGGTATGTTTCCATTCGGAATATCACCATTAGACAGGTTAATTTGTTGATAGGTTTGCAATTAAAACTTAGGTTTTGCAATGAATAATTGACATTACTTCGCAAAAACTAAGCAGTTTGTGTTAAAAATTTGTCCGCCATTTATGATCCATTTGTATATCACCATTCGACAGCTTGACATTGAAAACAGGGGTTGGCTACCTAAATAATGTTGACCTGCCCTAAAGGCACAATATGGTTTTAATTACTGTGAAATGGCAGCCATTTTGAAATTCAAGATTGTCGCTATTTATCATTCGTGAGAATATCACCATTGGACAGGTTGACATTGAAAACCTAGGGTTTGCTACCAAAATCAAGTTGATAGGGCCTACCTGCTCCAATAGCACAGTTATTGCTATTTTACTTTTAAACTGGGAGCCATTTTGAAATTCAAGATGGCCGTCATTTATAATCTGTGAGAATATCACTACTGGCAGGTTGACATTGGGTTTGGTACCAAAATCATGTCGACTCTAATAGCACAGTTATGGTTACTTTACTGTAAAAATGACGACCATTTTGGCCAAAATTTTTTTCGACCAAAATAGACGCCAAGACACTCTCATAAAAAATGGACCCTTGCATTTTTGGATTCAGCATACCCAAAATATCCGGAAAATGCAATAAAATTGCTTAGGGCAAGCATATCTCGCAAACCTGTTTTTTTTTTTTTTGACATTAGTTTGTCACTATACACCCAAAGGCCAATCCTACTCACGCAGCTGAGGTATTATCTGATAGTATGCACAAGCTGGGAACGTTATCGCCCGATGCGCCACGTCTGATACTAGGAGACTTTAATCAACTTAATTTGAAAAAAGTATTTAGAAATTATCAGCAGTGTATATCATGTCCTACACGGAATAATAAAATATTAGACTTATCTTATGGTACAGTCCCAAATTGTGTATATTTGATACCTCAGATCACAATTGTGTATATTTGATCCCGGAGTATGTACCAATTGTAAGAGCAAAGGAAAAGGTAGTTAAGAAAGTCGAACTGTGGACTTCAGATAGCATTGAACAGTTAAGAGGATGCTTAGAATGTACAATTTGGGAAACGTTTTATAACTCTTCGTCAGATTTAAATGAAATGGTAGATGTAATAACCTCATATATAAATTACTGTCGTTAATACCTACAAAATCAGTTGTTATATTTGCTAATATAGCAAATAGTAGCCATGGGTTACAAAATATTTAAAAAATATATTAAACAGAAAGAAACGTATTTTAAACATGGTAATAAGCGTGAATTGAAACAGATAAACAAAGAGGTTAAAACTGCAGTTCGTAAGGCAAAAGATATGTACAGAAAAAATAGAAAGTAAATTTAGTAACGGATGTATTCGTAGTGCTTGGCAGGGAATTAAAGGAATGGCATCAACTAATTTAAATAATGGGCAAAAAAATAAACTTAGCATAGAAGGTGTTGATGAACACTCTCTGCCAAATAACCTTAAAAATTTCTTTGCTAGGTTTGAGAAACACGATCTATTTAACGATAAAGTTGGCGACTCATTGCCTGGCTCTGATGATAGAGATTGTATACGTAATTAAAGAGGATCATGTAAGGCGACTACTTAAAAATATTGATGTAAATAAAAGTTCTGGTCCTGATGGTATTGGGAGCAGAACGCTAAAGTTTTGTGCGGACCAGCTTAGTGGTGTTTTTCAACATCTCTTTCCAGAAATCTATCAATTATAGCAGAGTTCCGAACTTTGGAAAGAGTCTATAATAAAACCTATTCCCAAACAGGCAGTAATTAAACAACTCGATGATTTGCGCCCAGTTGTCATGAAGATCTTTGAGAAAATTGTGAAAACATTCATTACGTCTGTGGTGGAACCCAAACTCGATCCTCTTCAGTTTGTTTACAGGTCTTGAAGAGGTGTTGAAGATGCAAAACAATTTTTGTTAAACAAGCTGTATACACACTTAGATTTTCCAAAGTCCCATGCCAGGTTGTTGTTTGCAGACTTTTCTTCTGCTTTTAATACTATGCATCCTTTTATTTTAGCTAATAAGTTAATTTCTAATTTTGGATTTCAACGTAATTTTGTTTTATGGATTATTAGTTTTCTGACCAATAGATGTCAAAGGATTCTTGTTAATCAAACGTACTCCGATTTAATTACAACAAGCATAGGATCTCCCCAGGGTTGTGTCCTTTCTGCTCTCCTTTACATCATATATACCGACGACTGCCGCAGCAGCTTGATGACAGTTATTTGGTCAAGTTCGCTGACTACACAGTGTTATTGACTCTTCTCCGAGATTCTAAAGAAAATCACGGTGCTGCACTGGATGATTTCATCCAGTTTTGCAGAGAATCTTATCTAGAGCTCAATGCCAGCAATACCAAGGAGATGATTGTTGACTTTAGGCGGAAGAAAGTACATAATCCTCGGAAATCCTTTATTAATAATAAGCCTGTTGATTTTGTTCATTCTTTTAAATATTTGGGGACAATTTTTGAGGATAATCTTTCTTAGGAACTTAATACAGATACCATTGTCAATAAAGGACAGCAGATACTTTATCTGTTAAGGAAACTAAACTCTTTTAATGTTGATAAACATATTCTTAAGATTTTTTATAACTCATTCATTGAAAATGTCCTCTCTTTCTCCTTTATCTGTTGGTTTTACAATCTTAAGGTTAAAGAGAAAAATTCACTACATAAAATAGTTAACTTAAGTTCTAAAATAATTGGTTGCCAGTTGCGTAGTTTATCTTCCCTTTGTAATAGACAGATTTTAGATAAAAGTAAAACTATCTTAAAAATCAGTAATCATGCAATGTTTAATGATTTGAGCTTCTACCATGTAATATATTAACACAAACAAACGTCTTTGTAGTAGCCTAGCAAAACGGCTGGATAACGGAGTACACATTAAATTCTGTTCCATGTGTTCTGGAAGTCATGTTAACAAGGTGTCCTGTGTGGATTTGTAACTGTGTGTATTATTAGTATTCAGCACGACTGTGTGTCAATAAAAAGGCAGAATATTACAACTGGCGACGAGGATTAGGATTTAAGATTTCATTTATTGTCCAAAATACTGGGCGACAAAAAATTCATTGCAAGGTTAAAAATACAAAAAATAATATATATACAGTATCATAAATACTGAACATATTATGACCAAAACATAATTAGATAACAATATATAAGGCAAAAACATAATATATATATATCATAAATACTGAACATATAATGACTAAAACACATAATTAGATAACAATATATATATAAGGCAAAAATGGGGTTTGTTTCTTTCCTTAAAACCAAATAGATGATATCTTGCCAACCATATTGACAATAAAAGTTTGAAATTACTGTACTCTCTCGCATACTTCCCAAATGTTAGATCATCTGTAACACCAATACAATATGCTAGTCAATTATATAGCTCAATTGGTACCATATCTTTTGCATTGAGATATGTGAAGGTGGAGGCCATAAGCATTTCTTGGTTCATCTTTAATGGCCTGGTGAACAATAATGCCCACTTTGTAGACAATCATTTTTCATTTCAAAGTAAAACTATCTTCAAAATCAGTAATCATGCAATATTTAATGATTTTGAGCTTCTACAACATCATGGGCGTCGTTTCTGGTATCCGGTGAGTAAAACAAATAGATGTAGAAATTCGTTCCTACATGTTGCCGTTCGACTCCTTAATAATGAGTAGGGCTACTTCTTATACTTTTTTTAATCAACGATTCTTTTTTTTCATTGTGTAGGCTATTTTTCTGCGTTTCATTTATTTTTTTAAATTTTTTTTTTTAATGTCATGTTTTTATGCTTGTAATGTCGACCCGATTTGAATTGCCCCATGTGGGATTATTAAAGATTTATTGAATTGAATTGAATTGAATATAAGATGTACTCTGGCTGTACAGCGCTCTTTCGTTAAAACCTGGTATGGGTCATTTATGCATTTATGTTAACAATTTTCAGGCATATCTTGTTGACTCACAAAAAGTGAGGGTCCAACCCTTCCCCCTTAAAAAATATGTGAGGGTGCCCCCACCCACTCCCGGTCGGGGAGAGAAACCACAGGAGCTATAGTCAGGAGCTATATAATTGATTTTAAATTTTGTAATCATGGTCGAGTGCATGTTTGCTGTTGTGTTACAGTTAAATAATAATTATAATATTTTGAAGTGGTAATTATTAGTTGTGTATAAATAGTTTTTAAAATAAAAGGAAATACTGTTGTATTTCGACTGCAGTCAATCACGTATGTACGGTAATTCGCCGAAAGTTACTTATAAAAAAAGTGTTTCATAAGAAATTCAAGAAAATTCAATTAATAAATGTTGTTTTATCAATCATCGTTCAAAAAATATAAACTGCACATAGCAATCGCTACGCATGTACGATACTGAACGCGCCCTATATCCGACAAGGGACCTCCCTGAGATCACAGGTACCTACTTGCACGCACAGATCATTGTGGAACTGCCTGCAGTTCGACACTTCTGTATTTATTGTTGTTGGCAGATACAGGAATTTGAAATAGAGGGCCCCAGAGAGGGAAGTTTGACAGATGGAGGATCTATATCACCTCAGCCCCACCACGGTTGGGACTGAGGTAGGAAAATTTACGATTATGTCACCTCTAGATGGCCGGAAATGGCACTCTCAGACTTAAAATTTGAATGTACTTTAATTTTCTTTTCTTTCTCAAATTTTTTACAATTTTAAAAAATTTGTATTAGGCCTAATCAAAAAGGGACTGTAATTAAATCGGCTGCGCGATAAACTGTGATAACGTATACTCTTGAGTTCTTTTATAATTATTTTGATGTCACAATGTATGGTTAATCAAAAATCAATTACAGAGAGGATATACATGTACGTTGATTCTTATAACCCTTATTGAAAGGCATATATAATTGTATTATATTTTGTTATTCCAAAATTACACTAAAGCAAAAACTTATTACTTTAATTATTACTCTTTTATTAATGAAATATTATTTAATTATTCTAACAAATGCTTTAAAAAATAACAGGTCTTTAATGGAGTGGGTAGCCTAATCGTGGAAACTAAGAGCTTAAAACTTACGAACACATTTTGATACAGTACATCTAAAAAGAAAGTCAAAAATGGCCACCAGCACTGAGAGAATGAATACGGAATCGGAAGAAGAGCCCATGAATGGTACGGTATGTGATCAAACAGCATCAACAGGAAGTGGAAAAAGAATTAAAGGAAATTGAAAAGATATCTAATTAATAAGCATATAATACTGTATTTTAATTCAAGTAAAATGTAAATTTTTCAGGCCTTATATCCAGTAGTTGGGGTGTTGCGAATGGCGTGTATAACTAACCAACCAATAGAAGGTTCACATTTCCAAGGCAGTCCAGAATGTACTGAATATAAATTTGTGATTTTCTATGATTTAAATATAAAATCTTAAATTTTACATTTTAACCAGTAGGCCAAATCTACTCAGGCTGTCGTGATTGGAAGAACGCAATTTATCCATTTTTGAGATTTTGTCTTAGGGGCACCCTGTGGATGTAATTTACCATGGGAAGTGATCATATACTCCAAACAATTTTTCGAAATACTAAATTATTATGAGATTTACGCATTATATACTTCCACCAAAACATTATATCCACTAAGCATTGAAATGTTGGAAATATTTTTTATTATAATACACCTTTTCCACGAATCAGTAGACATCTTGAAGTGATGGCAAACAAACTAAGTCAGTGGTGCGTAACCAACAAAAATTAAATAAGCTTTGAGGCTAAATTCTTGACCTCATGTTATTTAAAAATTCAATACTCCATAATGGAGGGTCGTATCACATTAATTTTTCCTGCATCCCCACAGGAGGCCGAAAAGACAAATTAAATACAAAAATTGTCATCTGTCATATTACATAATATTTGATCGAAAGTCAAATAAATTGGATGCGTTTTAAATCATCGAAACTTGGTTAAATCATGGTGCACCATCTTTACATTGCATATTGAGCACTTTTCTCCTCCTGAAAACACAAAAAAATGATATTAACATGTTGGATATACAATCACTTTATTCAATAAGACAAAAGTATATGAAAAAAGGGAGACAAAATATTTACATGCCTAGGTCAAATGTGGATCACAGAGATGCGAGGCAATAAACATTGAATTTATGAGACATTAGGTACACTTGCCTTCAGTATGGACTTGAGCTGATAGAGGGCATTCTCATATTGATCTTCGAGAGCTGCCAGCTGTTCACGTTTTACTCGGTGTGTCTGGACATCTTTCTTGCCAACATTCGACAGCATACACTTAAACTTTGTAACCTAAATTAAAAAATTTATAGCTATCATATTTGTTTCTAACATACATACGCAGGCACGTATCCAGAGAGGGCAGTTCAATGAGTGTACATTTTAAAAACATTTGAGAATTGTACTCTATAACATTTTTTTTTATTTTCTAGTATAGATAGCTCTAATGTATACTTTCAATGGATTATGAGGCTCACTGAAAGACTTTGGAACCCCTTTAGATACCCAAGCTTCAATCCCAAGCATACTCCACAACTACCTTTCAGATCATACACATATTAAGCTCCAAAATCTTGAACATGTTGAAGGCAGCAGCGTACTACAAGAAAATATTAAATACTGTAAATGCTTGAATAATCGTTGTGGCACTTATATTTTTGAGAGCGGCGCTTATAAAAAATATTGGCGTGGTGCTTTCCATATCCGTACCCATGTTGCCTATCTCACGTATCCCCGCAATTCAGTAGGCCTACTATAGGTCCTATGTCATCGTAAATAAATGTTCAAAGAAATGCTTGTGTCTTAATTGTGTTGTTCATTGTGTTTTCATTTTAACACTGTATACATTGTATTTAAAACTCTGTTTCTTAAAGTATTTCATTACACACAGGGTAATTATAACTATCGATTAAGCGCCGCAGCAATAAATCGAGAGCGGCGCTTAGTTAAAAAAATAATGTTTGGTGCGGCGCTTATTCAAGCATGTACGGTACTTGCACTAAATATTCTACCTTACCTCAGACTTCTGTACCAGAGAGAATGCTATCCCAGCTTTGCCAGCACGAGCTGTTCTACCAACACGATGGATATATGTCTTGATGAACGGTGGCACATCATATGAGATAACGCAGCGTACATTATCAACATCCATGCCACGTGCCATTGCATCAGATGCTATCAATCTGACGGAAAAATTAATATCTGTTATGATTATGAAATTAAATCTTGCAATGCGTAAAGCCCCCTGGAAGCTCTAAGATAGGATATAAAAGTATTATTCTGTTGATTTCAATCTCGCGCATACATCAAATAAATTGTTTTCTGTGCCCCGCTTCCCACAATTGTGTTTACTGGGGAGCCAACTCGGGTGGATCCAGTACCAAAAATACCAAAAATTTCAGATGTTAATCAACACATATTCCTACTCCACCATGGGAGTATGGTCCAATCATGATTATTATTTTTAAGGTCTGAAATAAATACTTCAATTTAGGTCAGCTAACTAGCTATCATTTCATAAAACATGCATATTGGCAAAATTTTAGTGCCCCACTAGCAACACTACTGAAGTATAGTCAGCAATAGCATTTACTTACATTTGTATTTTGCCAGCTTTAAACTTCTTCAGGATCTCGGCTCTCTTCAACTTGGATAGTTGAGAGGAGAATTCCTCAACTTTGATACCACCAATGGCCTTCACAAGCAGGTACAACCTTTGAGAAAATATGCAGATTCATTTTAACATACCGCTCACATACTAATGATCCAATTGTAAGGCAACAATTATATTCCTTAGGTAGCTTATACAAATTGACCCCTGACACCCTATAATAACCATAACTTTTCATCATCGTCACATTTGATTGATTCACAAGGAAATCGGACAATTCACACAAGATGTTTAAATCCTTTTTCAAATATCGGACACAGTATCTCAGTTCAAATTTTGAAACAGCAGTCTGGAAGCTGAGAACCAGGGGAGAGCTCTGAAAATCAATGTACTTGGAAGAGTTAGTCCAAAAAGAAATGTAACTGCGTTTTTGTTCTATTAGTGGATCCTCTGGTTTTTGGAAGGTTTACGCTCTATAAATATTGTTCTATAAACTAGCAGTGTTCCCATTTGGATGGCTCACCTGTGTGTCTGTTCTACAGTGTTTGTGAAGCAAAGTATGTTGTTGAAGGACAGTTTTAGAATCAGGTGTAAAATTATCAGAGGTTTCTCACCTGCTGTACAATTTATCATAAATTCCTTTAAAAATAAAAGAAAGGTCACTTAATTTAGTATCACAAGATGAGGAAATTATTATTAAAGAATACAAGTATTTAGAAAAAATACTGTAAGATAGTATAATACATACTCCAAGTATCGAAATGCATGCCATCGTGTCGGGATTCAACATTCCAACATTAATTATGTCATCATCAGTGATGATGACATAATTGATGTTGAAATATTTAATCCAGACATGATGGCATGCATTTCGACACTTGGAGTATGTATTATACTATCTTATCTGAGACTAATCAGTGGACCTTTCGGTTTTTAGAAAACATTAGATACTGTAATTGGTTTTTTCAAAAATAGTAAACTAAAATTCTAAAAATTGTTTATGAATACATCATAGTTGAATAAATACACAAAGGATAAACTACCAATACAAACATGGATAGTAAACAAATAGCTATAAAACGATCATCTGAAATAGACGTACATGTATCATGTCTATATACTGTACACGAGTTCAACATATGTTTAACATGTGCTAACCATAGAATGAACAGCATTCCATCTTTATTTCAACAAAAATTCAAGAGCTTGTATCCTGTTCAGTAGATATCTACTGACCTCCCACAGGGCCCAGTTATGCTTTAATAACTAAGTCTCATGAGAATTATTGAGTGGAGTGGTTTTAGACAAGACTTTTTTATACTGTACCTTGTTTAGCGAATCCGCCACCCACGGATAATGATGATTTCAAACAAAAATAAAATTTAACTTTTTTTGGACAATTAGCGCACCCATCGCCACGAAAAATGGAAATTTCAGAAAAAAAATAAAAGTTTTTCTTTATATTTATTACACCTGTCACTGCCTTGAAATCTCCAAAAATAAGTTATGTATATTTTTTTCCCTAATTATATAAATATAAAGCATTTAACCATCCCATTACCACACAGTTTACATTCACCAATTTATTTCCACCTGGATGTTATTTGCTAAATAAGAAAACAAATTTTTATATTCATTTTCTTTGCCTTCATCTGATGAAAAATTAAGTTTGCAAAACACGGTATAAAAAGTCTCGCCTTAGTCATGACAAAACATCCTGCTGCCACAGGATCGAACCCAGGACCCTGAAATTAGAAGGCAAGCATCTAAATAACCAAGCCACTCAGCTTCACTTCAAACTCAACTCCAAACTATCAATAAGATTATATATCGTTTATTGCTTCACTGTGCAACTGAAGTAACTTCTTGTTAATTCTACTGGAGAACTTACTGTTAATTCTACTGGAGTAGTGTATTTTCCAACAAACTCTCCTTTGTTGTCATGGTCTCCCGGCATTTCTTCATGACCTTTAGTCTTTATAACAGAGGTCAATAGTTCAGGATGAAATAAATTCAGCTGTGTCAATTTCTCAGGGTTTTGTGATAATGTTGCAGAAAACAGTAATTTCTGAAGCTGAAAAATAATTTGAGGAACTGTTGCACTAATAATTGATGTTTTTTATTGTTTCAAAATTACATTCACTGATCAACAGATCTATGCATGATACTCCATCAATGGGCCTGGGTTGTGGAGAAGTCACTGAAGGGGCGCCAATGGTAGAGTAACAGTTTTAAATTAACAGCCCATGTTAATTTTGTTAGCACTTCTTTAAGATGCCAATATTTTTAATATTCTGCAGTGCCAGAATTTTAAAACAAATTTTAAAATCCATTTTAAATAAAAGAAATATTTTGCATGTCAATCTTAAAATTGATGCTGCAACAGAAGTGTCCCCTAAATAGGGGCTGGACATAGTGTTGAAAGATATACTTCCTCTCGTTTTGCGCCACAAAAAGTGGCCCTTTAGGGTGTCCCAAAGATGGGCTTCTACTAATAATAAAAATAATGATAATAGTAATAACAATCACAATAATAATATAAATAATAGCTTAAAACCTAAATGAAACCACTGCCCTCCAGTACTTCACTCTTACATTCATGATCACAAAATACTCCAAGCACTTCCTCAACTAATATAGAAAATAGTAAATAATATTCATAATGACACAACATTGAGTTATACTACAAGACTGAAGTTATATAATTGCTAAATAGAAAATATTTTTCTTTAAAAACACTTTCTTATTTCATATGGATTAGAAGGGAGTATAAGCTATTTATATATTATAATAGAACTTTTTAAAATAAAGAAAGTAACATGTTTTTTGATAATATTACTTATCTATTACTTATAAAATTCATAGAAGATAATCCATTTTTTACCTTCTAGGTGTAAGTTTCAGTTTTCTTTACTGTATTACAGTTGTTGCTGTATTTGGTACTGAATAAACAATAAAAAATGACAAACCAGCACACATAAACAAGTGCGCCAGGAAGTCAGTTCCTTAGGAACAGGATCCATGAAAATTAACACTACACCAACACCTTAATTCCCCTATCTAAAAGATGTTTAGCAATTTGAATGTTTACTTACTGGTGGAAACTTGATAGATACACTGAAAGAAAAAAAATAGTTCAAATTATAATCATTTTTAACGTACCAATAACAATACATAATAACACAATACCAAATATACGTATAGTATCAATTGAGTGAGAAAGTCTCACATGAATGATGAGAATATGTTCATAGATCGTAAAAGTACTTGTGTTTTGCTCTCCATTCCTCCATTTAAGATTAAACTATTATTATTATTATTTCATTTTTTTTGTGGTTGTTTACCAAATCAAAATTACTGATAATTTGTTTTAATTAATTTTGTATACATTTGCCATTGCATTTTGTGAGATACATTTGAAAAATTATTGTTGCTTCCCTAAGCAAATTGATTAGTTTTAGATTGTAATGTATAAATCTTAACTAAATGGAAATTTGAAGCAGAATATTAGTTTGTTTACCTTGAAGGTGTAACAATGCTAGGTGCTGGTCTGAATGGTTCACCAGGATAGGCACACTTTTCTACCTCTTTAATCCAATTCTTTGATATATTATCCATCATCCTATCGGCTTCATCAATGACCTAAAAAAGAGGAAGGAATATCATTTTGTTTGTACTTTTCAGTAAAAAAACTTGCTATTTGATATCCAGCTCCAAATGTTTAGTTAGTGTAAATAGTTACTGGGTTTAGTTTAAATGAAATTCATGTATAAACATTTATAACATAACAATAATAACATAATAATCTTTATTGAATATACACTTTTGTATCCGTGGCAATCGAGGAGTTGTGGTGCATTCATAATAAATGAATTGACACTACATTAAAAAAACAAATACACTAAAATTTGATAAATATACATTAAAACAATAAATCATAAAATCATTAACATT